TCCTATGATCTGTACACATCTCTATATCATGAAGATTAGGGAAGGAGTAAAGTGAGGCTATAACGTGGTAAGTATATTATGAAGTTCTTAAAGTTAGATCATTCGTTAGTGACGAGACCTCGTCGGCAAGAAATAGAGAGGAGCGAGGTGGAGTGGGAGGGGGACAAGCGTACGATATCGGACATATTCATAAAAGTAGCGGCAGCTGCAGTACACACAGACATTCAGCGCCGTCCTATTTTGGATATGTCTAGAACATGTTTCAGGAAATATCGTTACATTGCAGCTTTATGGCGTTATCGCACGGTGATGCTTTTTTCACCACATTTCTTACAAAGTTATGCCTATCGTTTTGCTACGGATGCGCGAATCAACAGTCACTGTTCTGCTACACTCACTAAGGTCATACGAAACAAGATCTTTATCAACCTTATCACCAGTAAGCTGATAATCCGTTCATACTTGCCAAAACTTAGCTGATTAGAACCCTCACGACTTGTTGGCAGATTCATTGCTTTATGTTTTTACCCAGTTTGACAGCTCGAACAAAACAACCAATTATAGCCCACAACTACAAATGTTAACTAGCCACCAATTTCACGCTGAAGCAGGTCACAGGACAAGAACCGAAGGGTCGGTCGGCAGCTGTTTGCTTTTCGTCGTGCTGTATTTTTGGTGCCTAACGACGCATGCATACAAAATGGCCTTGCTAAATATTTCGTGAAAGGGCAAACAGAATATATTATGAAATGAAGTGTATGAATGTTATGATAGAAGAGCCATATTATTGCCGCAATTTGCTGTTATCGTTACTCACTTTCGTCCACGCCGTCGCTTATGTACATTGTTTTCGTGCCGTAGTCCTCTTCATCGTCGTAGTAATAAGTAGGGGTGCGAGAAAGGTCAGAGAATGCACGACCGAACGTGAAGTTAGGATCGCCAACCAGGCCAACAGCACTTTTCTCGTTACCGCGGGTCATTGCTGGCGAAGGCAAGTTTTCGGCCGAATCAGACCCTGCTGTTGAGCCTTTTCGGAACCTAAAGTGACAACTCAGAACCATATGTAGCAGCGGCTGCTGAAAGATCAAACGAATACACCTTAGAGCAAAAGAGTCAAGTATCAATGTCGAAGCAAATGAACAGAAACCTACTGAAGAGAGTTGGACAGAGAAAACATAATACAAAGTTAATAATCATTATCTCTTCATTTTTGATTAATGGCTCAAAGCAATGGGTTATAAGGAGAAGATGAAACACTTTATTTACAGGTACTCTTCCATGCCGCACTCAGCCTAGTAATCAGAGAATTGTTGCGCATTTTGACTCGCAAAAGCTGAATGCATGACGAACATATGAGCGAATTTAGATTCAGTGACAGTTTGAATATTATCGGCCAACTTGTTCGTAAAAATTAATGAACAATTGGATTCTGTCACTCATATGTCCCCAATACACACTGTCCCATGTGTCATCGTTCCGTTTAATTTGAATACTGGCGTCTATAAGATGGAACCGGTGTGCAGTGTTGAAACGCGTCGGTGATTAAAACATTTCACTCGATTTTACTGTCACTGTAACTTTTGATTTTGAACGGCGAATCAGAAACTGGATGTCAGTCACGAAAACAGAAAGGTAGAGAGGGACAGCAGCGATGAGCCTATCAACGGGTAATGGTCGGCAAGGATAGTCGATTGGTACCTTCATGGGCGGTTGAAAGGTCACGTTAAAAGGAAGAAGGCTCAAAACCATGAGGAATTGGGTAGAGTGGCGGCCAGCACGATTCGTCATCGGTCATTGGCTGGTTCCAGTGATCCACGTATTTATATAGGCAACGAAACATTGTCCCCCTCCAAACTTACCAATTAGGTAAATCGCTAAGCCACAGGTCATACCTGAAGCAGATCATCCACACCAAGATGATTATGACGATCAGGACTCCGACGACTCCGCTGACGCCACCGGCGATATAGGCGACCTTGTGTTGACTCGGTTGAAAACGGACCTCGCACCTCTTACCCGTAAACGACTCCTTACACTGACAGTAAACGTCACCGATATCGCTCTTCTGGCATTTGCCGTCGTTGTAGCAGAAATCGATGCACGCGTCCTCGCAGTAAGTGCCGTTGCCGCGAAATCCTGGCTGACATATGCATTCGAACGCTTCGTCTGGCAAGTCCTTACAAAACGCATTCCAATGACAGTTGTGCTGCAGTGTCTGACATTGATTCGTCGAATAGCATTCGGACTGATCACTGGAGCCTGAAATTAATTCAAAATCACTCATTTTCAAAGAGGAGGTCAAGGGATCGCTTGGGAAGACCACAGAGTTTCTGCAGACACTAGAGCCGCGTCCAGGACTAATTGTTTGTCACAGTTTGTTGCTATTGAAGGTAGAGCAAAATTTTAATCAAGGGTGTCGTCATCCTTACCTCGTTCTGCCGTCGTGTGATCAGGAGGGCAATTTTTACACTTGTCTTGAAGCAGCTGATCCTGATACATTCCCTTTTCGCATAGTCGGCACATCTTTGTAGATGAATCGAGGAATTGGCCTTTTATGCAAATCGCTATAAACAGTGAATAAGAACAGGAATCTAGTGTCAAAAAGATATTACGAATATCGCATTTTTTTATGGTTTTTGAACCGGTCGATGCAGTTGTGAATCCGGCAGGACATGCTGAACAATTACCCAATGAGCTCTGCTCTCTGAACGTTCCTCGAGGACATTCTTCGCACTCTCCCGTTTCCGTCAACTGAGTACCGTTTGCGCAGGAATCTGAAGGTGAATATATAAAAGAATAGCCCAGAACCCTGGTAATTTAAAAAGTTATACAGATTTTGTATCAAATTTTAAAAATCAAATATAAAATTTTATGCAAGTCTAATTCACCTCGAATTAAATACTAATAAAACTCAATTACTAAACAAATTACTAATTTTTGTTTATCACATTGCGTGACGGCGTAAGCTTGATTCCATGAAAAACATGGCCGTTTCTTTAGAGACTGAGATCATGAAAGTATAAGTTTGATTATTGCATCTCACTAGACCTTATGGCCATTGACCTAATCATGATTGGAAAGCAAGAATTTCCTTCTATTCCTCTACCGATATCACTTAACTCCCTGATTGTGTCTTTCGTCCCTTTATCCATGAATTTTAAAGTTTGGTTCAGACCATAGAAGATGTGATGAAAACGTTTATACAAGCCTTTAAGGAATCATAATTGAATGGGACGCAGCGGGATCTGGTTTCAACTGGACTTACCAGTACTCATCTGCCAAAATGGTTTCACTCACAAACGAAGAGCATGAGAAAAAGAGAAAGCTGCTAGACAGACCGACAAGCCCTAAAGAAACTGGAAGTAACCTATTTTCTGCGCACAACCTGCCAGAGCAAGATTTATCACCTAGTCAGTGGACTTATTTGATCGACTAGTACTAGCAGCTCGTTTGATTCAATCATTAGACAGTATTATGAGCAAAGAGTGTGGAATGGAAATGCCCCAGGCCTACATAAGCCTCATTAAGCACTCTGAGGAGTTAAAGAAATGAAGGGATCATCAAAGCATACAAAAGCCTGACATCTGCATCACCGCCGTTGAATCGACAAACGACCGGAACATCATCCTCCAACTAAACTTCGTGCTGAGTCAAGCCAATTTGGCCAATGAGAGCTGATAAGTCCAGTCGAAACCTCGTCCCACTGAATGACGAATTCCGCTGTGTGTGGAACAAATGCATTTTTATAATTTCTACAGCGACATGATTTTTCTGACTTTGGATCTCGATCTTTAATACAGAATGTGCCACTGAACTGCCCTTGTGTTAGACAGAATTGTCTTAAGAGGCACTGAAAAATTGAGTATTTCGTACGTGGTTGCGGGTCATACTGTAAGGGAACAAAACAAGGTTCATTTATAAACATCATGAACAATTTGGTAAGTCGGAATGTTCAGCTTTTTCTTCGCGTGTCTTTTTTAAAGTAGGGAGGGGGTTAGTTTCAGAAATTTATTTTGTCGTTTTTGGCGCCATACGACCATATTCTTGGAGTCAAAAATGCTGCTGACCTTAAACGCGTAACGTCAGGAAATTTTAAGAAATACGATTATGGGGGTAAACTACTATCAAACAGGCTCGTGCTGAATCAGTTTATATCGTTATCGGAGTGTTACCTTTGCATTCTTCCAAAAATTGGCTATTTTTGCGGTAGGTTGACTTTTTGGGGCCACAGAACAGACAGCTGAAGCTTCCAGCAGAGGGCTGATAGAAGCCATAGCCACACTGTTCGCACGCCTTCGATGTCAGGTTGTAGAAGCTGCCTGGCTGGCATGATTCTTGAAGGGCAGCCGTTAACAACGAGCAAGACCGGTGTCACACGTTGTCACCAAAGACTTACCGACGCATTGAGACGAATCGGTCGAGCCAACATCCGTCGTCGTAAGACCTTCGCCACAGCTTTCGCACTGAAGCTGTCCAAGTTTACTCTGGAAGGTACTTCGAGGGCAGAATTCACACTGGGATGTCATCGGATTATAAAAGGTGCCGACCGCACATGGGGCTGCAAAGTTTGATGGAATAAACTTACAGACAGGCGCTCGCAAATCAATTACCACAGTTTTCACCAATGAGGACTTGGCCCATCGTACAGCGGAAGACATTCCTTATTTTTACCGTATGCAAGTCCGGCTGGCCGTTGGACAGCGTGTTGCCGAAATTAAACTTGTTTTTGATCATAATGTTATGCCGCAGAACGTCCATCGCTGGAGCCCTCTCACCTGTCTTCAAATTCACCACCGGATCGCTAAAATCTTAGGATAGCAGATAAAACAGGACATTTGATAGCCTTGAGCAAACCTTAAAGCTGGAAGTGTAACGGCAACAACGTATTTTTGATCCGTTTCAGCTTGCCGTTTCATCTTCAAGAAAGGACCGTCAAGAAGACAAGAAACAGTGACGTTTGCGTCCTCGCAGGTACCTCTGAAAGCATTGCGTGCATCATGAATACTTTATTCAGTGAGATGTGATAGCATGAAAGACAGACCAAGCATCTCTCAGCTGAAATTTTCCTTGTATTTCACAAGCACAAAAGAGAGGTACAAAATATGACTAAGGTATGCACTGAGCTGAATCTGCGTGATGACATTACTTAGTCATATGACAGTTATGACAAATTTAAATGAACAGAAAATCGAAATTAACCTTGGAGCGCATAGGCGCCATTCGTTTCCAATGTCACGAATCTCTTTCAACACTTTCGACGCAAGAGCCTGTTTGCCGGCCACGTTGCACTTGAATTGAGAGGGGTATGCTATGGTCAAGGCGAGTAGACGGACGGCAGGTGACAGAGCTGAAAACGAAGTAGTTGAAGACGGCTGTGGAGTAGCACCAGAGAACGAACATACGAGCACAATTCGGGTATCTGAATTGAACAGTGTGGTTCAAACGGGGCATCCATTCGCCATCTGGACCACATGTGTAGAACGACGGTACCGGAGTAGAAAACGCGAAACCTGGCTCACAGCGAACGGTGCAAGATTTAAACCTGGAGAAGCACGGTTTAAAGAAATAATAAATACAGAGTAGCTCCAGTAATATAAAATCATAACCTCAGACCCGGGCCCCAAGTGCTACAAATGCTCGAACCATGGATCGGATCAGGTACTGTTGGGCAGAACGTTCTCAGAACGTGAACACGAAACGAGCACACAGCTGTGTTTCCTTTGTCGTCGTATGCAACGTAGATCACCTAGAAGATGTGGTCGATAATTTCTAGAAACCCGTAAATAAGACAGCAATGCTCAAGCGCGTTACTTAGATAATACTGATCAGTACAACTGAATATGGCCCAGTGATCAAGGTAAGAGAATTCATACCATTACGGTCTTGTGAAAACCACTTTCTAATTTAAACCATGAGAATGGACGAACCCAAAGTTCAGGATATACATTGTGCTAAGGCAAGACGGCGTATACTATCGCGGTAGCCGCTGAGCTCTGCAATGAATCGTTGAATACATGGCATAAAATATAATAATAATTCAGGTTTTTGATAAC